ACAGCTGAGATCGCCGCATCTGCAATGGTCCCTTTGACTTTAAATGCATTGCCGGCGACCTCAATCGCAGTCCCGTCCTCGCAGAGCAAACGCGCTACAATCCCAGTTAGGTGGGAACAGACAAATGGCAAAGGAACAAGGGCATGGCAAACATCATACGAAAGCATTAAGTCTAAATCCTCTCTATCAAATTGAGGAAGAAGTTGGGAAGATATCATTCAACAAATCCTGAGGAATGAAAACCCTGCGATCTTCTGCCCAAAAAGTCCTGAACCCTACCAAGTTCGTAGCATGACAGTGTATTTTCTTGCGCAGTGGACTTACCCTTACTCACGCTTTTGGTTTGGGGCATGGCTTTAATTCAATAAGAGTTTTTCCTACACCTGACAAAAGGGCACAGCAAAGGAACAAGGGCATGGCAGAAAATAATACAAAGTCTTTCGTCTAATTCCCGTCTGTCAAGCTAAGGAACAGTAGACACTGTCAACAAATCCGGAGCAGCAAACAACCCTGCAATCCTTGTTTTGGACAACCAACCGACTTGCCCGAAACCGATCTCTTGACTTGGGAGGGAAAGCATGGAAACTGCGAACTGGTGTCCCGTTTTGCTTTCAGGAATTGGTAGAGGGAACTAGGCATGACAGGACATGAAGTGGCAGCATTCCTTGTCTGCAGCTTTTCCCTTACCAATCATGCAACCAGCATGTGGTATTGTCGTCAGTCCTTCCCGAGCTGCCGCACCCAAACAGCTTTGCTCTTGGCAGCGGCACTGCCTTGCATTCAGAAAGCTATCTGGCTAAGCAGCTACCAAACATGAATTTTGCAGGCCTTATGGGAAATCATCATTAATGAAACTTCACAGGTTTCGGAAAGGCAGCGCAGCATGCTACTCCTTGATATTGCGCTAAGATTCCACACAACACAACCTCTCTTGCTTTCCTTTCAAGAATTCTTCCTATCCGAACCTCGCTTTTTGCAGTCACATCGTTCTGAGCCGAGTCACCTTTCAGCAGCTCTAGCTGCAACTCCTCATGACGACCAGGAGAAAGTACCTTGCCCAGTGAGCGAAGAACTGCCTGGCGAAGTCTTAAATCTCCGCTCCATCCGATCACGTGTCTTTGCACATCTAGATTGAACTCACGAAGATACCTCTTCAAAATCTCCTCGTTGATGTCTGGGGAGGAGATATCCACACAGGCTCGGAACCGACAGCGTCGGATCGAGGGCAGCAAGTGTTTCTGCGATGGTTTCGTTCATCTTCCTGATGAACTCCTTCAGCACCTCTGCTCTTGGCTTGGAAGTCCCAAAGGAAGAACCTGCAAAATCGTGCCAGTAGAAGGTGACATCCTGTCCTTCCGGCTGCTGCATCAGCACGTTGCCGATGTGACAATCGTGCCAAATATTTGCATGTGCCAAAGCAGTCAGGTCTTGTACGTAGCCAACGAGGAATTGGAGGAGGTCTGGCAGCGGGAGAGAGCTAAGCTTCACTGGTACAAGCCGTTGCATGACTGAGACCTGCATGGTGAATTCATCAGGTTCTTCGAGTTGGTGACCACCGAGTTGATACACTGGCACGGACATATGCATGCAGAATTGGCATTCTGCAGCAGGCGCCGCAACTTCAAAGACAAGTCGCGTCTTCCAAACTGAGTACTCGCGCCACTGGTGTTCGAGCAGAAGCTCTTCCTTTGGGATCCAACGTCTGATGTGCCGACTATCACCAGTTAATCCATAAGCCACGGCGTGAAGTACGAAAGACTCCTCAGCGGTTGAAAATGTCAGATTTTGCAAGCTTGTTACAGCCTCCGCTCGGTCGAAGAAAAGTGGCTGGCCTCCATGGTCGACATAGGATGGAAGTTGAAAGCCTGTTCTCACTACAATGTCTCCGGCAATAGCGCCGCACTTCGCTGTTGCAATTGTATTTCCGCCTCCTCCTGTGCCCCACCCATCAAACGCACAGTCGAAGTAAGGCTGAAGGGTTTGACAGGTGCCTGGGCTGCAATCCGGGCGCCCAGAGACGCAGAAGGCAAGGGTAATGGCGACAAGCTCCGGTCTCGGCATTTAGAATCAGCAACTCCAGGATACTGGTTACATGCCCCAGGTCCAAACCATAGCATAGAGTTGCAGAAGTATTGCCTTTTCCATCACTGAGAGCGCTACAAGTCAGCAAGTAGCATGGATGTTATACAGTGTCTGAAAGTTGTCCTCACCTTGAGCTGCAACATGCTGCAACTATCTCACGTGGACATGCAATGGGAATGCAGTTAGACGTTGCTGAGTGATTGACATCTCTCTTTGAAAGCTCCTGCCGTGGATTGTTCTTTGACTTGAAATGCATTGCCGGCAACCTGAAACTCCGTCCCGTCCTTGCATTGCAGCGCACAAGCACTGCAATCTCAGTTCATGCTAACTGCATCCATTCAACCTATGCCCGGCGAAGCTGAGACAGGCTGGACACAAGAAGTGCAACAAACCCTGCAAATCTTAGGTGCCGTGTTGGGACTGGGCAGTTACAAGCGAC